GGTTGCTTTCCTGGAATATTTCGGTCGCCAGTTCAGTGGCTAAATCGAAACGATGAACAATGAAAGCAATCCCGTGATATTGGGAACCTTAGAACCCGGTTACTTTGATTAGGACAGGTTGAACCCACCAACTTCAAGAGGGTACTACCCAGACCCCATGCTGGCCTAAACCTAAGGGCTCTCTCTTGTGTGACTTGTGTGCCTTAGTACTTGACTATCTGCATGCTTGTGATCTAACACTTGTTTCTTGCAGGTTTGTTTCAGTCCTTAATTTACGCGTCCCACATTGCTGGACAAAGCTTGAGAAAGTCTTCAGCACATTATTTCCCTTTTGAGGCTTTGGACATGTTTGGCGCATTGGCGCATTGAAGATTGATGGTGGTGCGGCAGCAAGGAGTGACCGTCAACGGCGGTTAGCAACGATGATTAGGGTTTTGGATATCGAAACCCCGATCGTCCTTCTTTCGGGTCTTCAACTAACTTGGTTCGGTATACTTCGTGTTCGTGTTCATCTTTTTAGTCTTCTAACCCATGTACCCGATTTTCTCCCTCTTTGTATTCTTCTTTTTTTTTGTCTTTCTGTATTCCAATCCCCCATGTATTGAATTTTTCTTTCTATTTATAGGGGTTTAGGGTTAGTTTAGAGAGGAATTAGGGATTAGATTGTATGCTGTAATTGATTGTTGATTGATTTTAATCGGAATGTAATTGGAGATTATACTGTAATTTCTGGATTTGCTTTGTATATTGATTGCACTAGTTATTTGAGATATGATTTTGTAAAACTTGTTATGATAGAGATTTGATTTTCAGATTTGTTTTAGTTTTAATTTACTGATATTTGATTTAGTTTGTTAAGAGATTCAATTGATTACGTTTGATTTCTACAGTATTAGTTAGTACAAAAACATGCGTTGATTTAGGTTAGATTGATACAATATTTGTTTTTCTGATTCCATTGGGCCTTGCGTTGTTATTTCTTGTTCAACCCAAAAAAACTATATTTTATTACAGCAAGAAAAGACTTGTTTTGGTTATTATCTGCAACGACATTATATTGAATTGGGCCCAAAAATTTGATCCAAAACATCTTTTCGAAAACAAAAATCTTTAATAAATAATTAGTATAATATCTTTTAATTACATCCAATTTAATAATAAAAAAATGTTTAACAGCAGTAAAACATGTCACGTTTAAAAATATACTACTTGTTATACTCTTTTTTTTTTAAAATTAAAATGATGATAACAATTTTAATAATTTTCTTTTAACCCCTCAAAGCAGCAAATGGGTTGTTAAAACTTGTTTAATGGGCTTGTAAATTGTAACCACACCCCTCTTTTGCTATTTGACAAACTTTAGATGGGTCCTTTTTTGCAATCTAACTTTTCGTTTACCACTTAAATGGGCCTCTAATTGCAATATCATTTTTCTTTATCTAGCAACAAAAAACACTTGAATGGGCTTACGTAATTAAACTTAATTATTAATTTTAAAATAATTTTCCATTTTTGAATCTCATGGGCCATAGGCCAACATGCTTCGCGAATGGGTTTATGAGTCTTTCTGATTTAGAAAGCCCCATTTTCCTGAATTTAAGTACATCCACTGATTGTTTTGGATAAAGATGGGCCATCAGATACTGTTTTACCATCTTTAATTAAATATTTCTTCTATTTTAAATCTTGAAAAATAAAATCATCGAGGTAGGGAAAATTTGGGGTACGACATTCAATTCATGCTTACCCTCTTGTGGAATCTGATCTTCATCCTGGATGTGACTTGGCCGAGTATTGTCTTCACCCAAATTTGCTTTGTCTGGTTATCCCCATTATGGTTGTTTTGTCAGCATATATATGATGACATTCATATACGTCATGCATAGCCGATTTCAAAATTCATTACTCATTTGCATTCACTGATGTTTTGTCGAAATATTATCCTCTTTGAAAATTTATATTACCCTCTCCCTAATAGAGTGTCAATGTTAAACAGAAAGTGTATAGCCTTTCAATCTCCCCATTGAGTTATCCCTCGTGGAAGAATTTTTCTTTAGCTCTCCTATTCAACTCACTATCTGGATGGAATGTGACACCCTTTTGAGTTTATTTCTCATTAGTTGTTTTCTTGGTTGAGTATTTTATTCTAGCTTATTTTGGGTTTGAATCTGTGGTCCCCGACAATAATATTATTCTGATTTCCCTCTATAGGAATGTGTTAGAATTTCCCCAGGAAATCAAACTTCATTTCTCGCCAGTCTTATTATAATTCCTTCTTGAACAACAAGCGACAAGTCTCTTTATTTGAGAAACTTGTTCTTCTTAATAAGTCTGTTAATGATAGAGAACATGTTTTACTCCAATTAATGGTAGTCTCTTTGTTGAAGGAGATAGTTCGTTGTTGAGATGTTACTCCAATGAATGGTAGTCTCGTCATTATGGGAGATAGTTCGTTAAGGAGATCTTTTCTCCAATGAATGGTAGTCTCTTCATTATGGGAGATAGTTCGTTGTTGAGATGTTACACCAATGAATGGTAGTCTCGTCATTATGGGAGATAGCTCGTTAAGGAGATCTTTTTTCCGATGAATGGTAGTCTCTTTGTTATGGGGGATAGTTTGTTGTGAATGTGTTTTACTCCAATGAATGGTAGTATCTTTGTTATGGGAGATAGTTCCTTGTTAAGATATTTTACTCCTATGAATGGTAGTCTCGTCATTATGGGAGATAGTTCGTTGGTGAAGATTTTTACTCCAATGAATGGTAGTCTCGTCATTATGTGAGATAGTTCGTTGTTCAGATTTGTATTCTGATGAATGGTAGTCTCGTCATTATGGGAGATAGTTCGTCGTTGAAATTTGTTACTTCAATGAATGGTAGTCTCTTAGTTATGGGAGATAGTTCGTTGTTGAGATTTAGCCGTGCTTCAATGATAAAGACGGTTCGTTGAAATATTCTTACAACACTATCTTTACCCTTTCCAGGTGAAATATCTTGGTTAAAGAAGAAATTGAGACCAGTTCGTAGCTTATGGTCAGGATCGGGGGGAGGTTTATCTGATTCTCCATCAAATGGTATCTCTTCGAAGAAATCTCTCAAGAGAAGTTTTTTGTGAAATCATTGCAAGTGGTAGTCTCTTTATTTGAGATAGCTTATTTTTTACCTGTTCAAGGTAGAACGCCATAATTTTGGGAAACTCATTATTGTTAATGCAAACTTCAACTTCAATAAAAGTTGGTGTATTCTCTTCTCTCTACCTTCATTAGAAGTTGGTAGTTCACCTTCAATAAACATTAGTGTATCTTTTATTTCTTTACCTTCAATAAAAGCCAGTATTGTCCTATGTTTTTTCTACCTTCGTCCTTGAGTGGGTAGTTCATTACCATTCTTAGTCAAGATTTATCTCTTTCTCCTCATTGGACCTTACTCCGATTGAGTTGAGTTGTTTCCAACCATAAGTGATGACGCCAAATCATTGATTACCAGACATAAGTATTGATACCAATCATTCATTTACTAGTTTAGATGTTGATGTTTACCGTCATCTCTGAACCAATATTATCTTACCGTTTCTATTCGCGCCCTTCGGGTTAGCAGTTGTCGGTCCCGCGTGAGTCGATGTTACCATCTTTTTTCTATCTCCTTTATGAGTGAATAGTTCACAATTATCGGTTAACATTTGTCTTCCATTACTTTTTCCATGTTTTATCGAGTGAATATTATTTTTCCCCCTTTCCGGACTTTACCCCAATAAAGTTGAGTCTTCTTTTCCCCAGCGCAGTAGATTTGTCTCCAATGGATTCAAATTTCCATCCCGAGAGTCATGTTGTTCCTCGGAGATTTATTTTTCTTGGTCGAACACTTTTTGTTAGTCCGTTGATTTTGTTTTCACTTCTCCAGTGTGTCTTATTCACATGCATGAAGTTTATATTTTACATTCATAATCATAAGCATCGCATGGCATCTTCGGCCAAAAATAGGGCTTGTTTTATATTTAAGTATCTTCAATCACGTTGAGATGAAGATTTTAACCTTCCTATCTACGGATAGAAGACACTTAAATAAGGGCGGCTGTTATACCCAAAATTTCCCCCTAAGATCCCTCATCACATCATATAAATCTCATGCATATCATCGGTTCCATGGTTACAGGATCAAAGGACTTTGGTATTAGGGTTTTTCTCTATGGACTAAGTTTGTTACCTTCTTCATGTCGATTCAGCTGGTTCTCTCACCACTCTTTGTATAAAACTAGGGTTTTAGATCTAAAAGCATCATGGATATTTTCCTTGCCAAGATTCCTCAAGATACAAAGTTTTCTTCATCAGAATTATCATCATGACTTCATTGAAATTGCTCTTGAGCTAGAGTTTTATTCCTCTCATCATCCCAAGCCTTCCTCATCCATATGCACTCAAGGTCCAAAGAAATAGGGTTTCTCTTATCTTGCTTGAGCATTGATAATGATTCTTCAACAAAGTTCATCATGCTAGGGTTTACATCTTATCATGCTTGAGTTTGTCAACATTTCAATTTAAATTCATTGGATTTCATACTTCAAGTCCTATCATTCATCTTTAAGTTGTTCCTCAAAGAAGTAATTATTGTTTCAAGATTAATGGTTATCAAGATAGGACCATTTTGTGGATTAAATTGCGAAAGATGAATCATGGCATAAGGTGTGAAGTTGTGGATTATTTGTGAATAAAACATTCTTCCTCTAGGAGTTATTTTGGTTAAGGACCGCTTGGATATATTTCTTGATTGATTGAGATATGGACTAAGATCATTTTGAATAAGTTGTCTCATTTGCAAGTTAATGCGGATCTATAAACTCAAATGAGGTTAAGTTTCATTTTTAGGCATACAAGATTGGAGGGATCGTTCATGGCTAATTTCTCGGGATTCAAATGACAAAGGAGTATCTTATGATTGATTCAAGAGTGCAAAACAAGGAAGGAACTGTTATTCTATTAATTGAACATATAAATATTTGATTTGATGGGTTGGCTTAGTAGAATTTTCAAAGGCTCTGACCATAGGGTTTCTGAAGGACATTACTTTAAAGATGATTCTGGTTATTACTTGCCATCAACTTCAGGGGATGTTTAGACTGAGAATGAGAATGGAGATATAGACAGCGCTATTATGTTGTCGTTTGCAGAAGAGAATAAGAAAGTAAAAAATGTAATTGACCACAAGTTACAATTTGAAGAAGATGAACAACTTGCTAGACCAGTAGAAGAAACCCTAAATTTGGAGTCACCTCCCAAACATGGAAATGATAATGATATGACGTATCAAGTATTTTTCGATGGCGTATAGGATATGTGCTGGCTGCAATACTGGGATTGGTTATGGGCGATATCTAAATTGCTAGAGTGAATTTTGGTATGGGCATCTAAATTGCTAGAGTGAATTTTGGCATCATTAACGCTTCCGTTGTCGTGCTTGCAACCTACCAATCTTTGATTATGAGTTTTCCACGTCTAGAAATCACCCTTACCATAAATCATGCTATAAGGGAAGCTACCATCCAAAATGTGATGTCTGCAAGTGCTTCGGCACACCCTTATGGAACCAACATTATTGCTCTTGCACTTCAATCCGAAACCAATTCGTACATCGAGCCTGTAGATTAACAAACAAGAGCTCAAAAAAATTAGGCCTTGAGAAAAATAGAAAAAGAAAACATAGATGAAAGTTTTTGAATATGAAATTAGAAATCCGAAAATAGTAGGACACAAGCTGAGTGCAAAATCAAAGTAGAAAAAAAGAAGAAAAATCAGGAAGTCTTACTAACACTCAAAATATCATAGAGTTCCATAACAAACTATTATAACAGAAATTAGAATCACTTACATAATTTATAACTAAATTCAAAGTCCTAACTAACTTTGAGAGAGTAACTAACTGACTCATCCCCACCCTTCATCTTCTAACCAACTCCTCTCAATCCAATGGCTCTAATGAATTCTCCCTGTAGTATATACTCTGCTCCCTCCAAATTTCAATGGATTTTTGAATTTCCATGATTCATTTTACAACAAGAATAACAGAGAATTTCCAAATCCAACCTTCTCTCTCTCTTCCATCTTCAACCTTCAACTTTCTTCAATCCTCTGCATCTTTAAGCCCTTCCTCTGCAACTGCTTCAACAACCTTGATCGTGTTCTACAACTGAGTCTCTATCTCCATTCAGAACCTTCATCACTATTCACACAAGATCCCCTTTATTATCAATGCATCATCACAACCAAAGGCAGCACAACACAACCGTAACGCATCAACACACAAATTTCAGAAAAGATGAAGAAGCAAAATTTGCACAAACGAATAAGATAAAGAAGAGTGATACCTATCATGAATACTTTCTGCACTGCCGGTTTTATGCTTCTATTCGCCATCATCGGTATGCATCGGACGAACTCTGATAGGTAGGCTTCGATTTCTCCATCTCACTCATCAATTTCGCATGAATAATTATTTGAATGGTTTTGAACTGCGACTGGATTCTGTTAATTTCAAAGTGTACCTTCCTTCACTTCACTTCGATTCGCAAATTACTCTCTATGAACATGTGGATTCTCCGAATTGGTTTCTGTTTGTGTAGAGGTCGAAGATGGTGAGTGTCTGATGCGTGCTTCATGATGTTTATGGTGGTGAACAGTTTAAGACCAGACATCACGAAGAAGGTTGAGTAATCGCGAGTGGAGAAGAAAATTTGGTGAATCGAAGATGAAGAGAGTTTGGCTGCAGTTCTGTTTGAGAGAAGACGATGAAGAAAAACTTATTTTGAACCCTAGAAAGGATAACCGACGTCGTCTCATTTTTTAGTGTTGCGTTTTTTTCCAGATAATTGTTGGACAACAGTTTGATGATGATTAAAAAAATCTGGTTAGATTTCGATGGGCCTGCCATGTCCATATCACCACACTGAGCCTAATCTTATTTTTTTGATACGATGAATAATGTAGAGCAAAAAAAATGTCTTATGGACCCATTTATGTTGGGCCTTACGCCTAGAGCAGGTTGATGGGCACAAACTCCTGATTTTCACATCAACCCCCTCCCTAACTCTTTTTAATTATTGTTTTAGTTTTTTCGTTTAGTTTAGATTTTCCCCCCTATTTTCTTAATAAAAAAATACATATAAAAGAAAAAAAATAAATATATGTAGAATTTAGAAATTCCTCTTGTTTTTTAGATAAGGAACTACAAAATTTATAAAAGTTTGTTAGATTTCTTATTTAATTTTTAGGAAATTAATTCCTAATTTTTCGATTACTTGAAACTTGTAATTCATCTTTGCTTGTGGAGTTGAGTCTTATGCAGGTTCATTGTTTGATATGCGAATATGTTTGAGTTTCCCATGGTGATTTATTTTCACATTGATGATGCTTCGACACATATTCCAAATATGCGATCTCTGATTGTTTGTTTGTTGATGACAACTCGTGCGAAGTATTCATGGTTTATTTGCTTTGGTTGTGCTTTTTGCGGACATTATTGTTCGTTTGGTATTATATTGCTTCCATGTTATATTTCCGCATTTATCGCTTTCTAGAAATCATTTGAAGTAGGAAGCAGGAAATATAGAGTGTGGGCCCGAAGTCGCTATTTAAAGTTCTGTAGCAGGCACCACTTTATGTATGATAATTGTGTTTGTTTAAAACCCTACCTTTGAAGTAGGTATTCCGCATGTATGTTTACATTTGAGCCGACATTATATTACAAGTGATAAGTCCTCAAAAGGAGGCAAGCAGGGAGGGTTCGTAATTGACCCCTGCACATTCTCGTCTGTGTCATCCTTAGTTCACATTGCAAGTCGATGCTTCAGAGTCGTGTAAATCTTGTGTATCGAGTCCGTCAAGTGGGGAAGGGTTCTGCAATCGAACCCTCACACTCTGACAGGAGTTTGTATTGGATGATGCTGACACTTCGTGATCGTTCATATTGCCTTCTGTCGCCTACCTCGCGCTTCTATATCTGGGTTAGGTGTTTAGTAGCTTTGGACATCACCTTTTTGTTTTACATCATACTCCCACTTGTTTGTCTCGGGTGATACGCTCCCCTTGGCTAAAGCATTTTGCTTCTTTTCCTTCCCATTTTATGTGTGTACTCTTTCGAGCTTGCTTGTTTACTCTCTTTCCATACCATGTTCGCTTAGGACGTGCGTGTTCCCTTCAGATGCAAGTTAGACCTTAGGTTGCAAACCATGCATGCTAACATAGGGTAGAGATTTCCCTTCCCATCCTTGACATAGGGCCATCATTGTATGATAACACTAGGTTAGAAATAGATTAGTCTCCCTTAGATGTTTTCTTCCCAATTTTTTATAATTGCAATTAAAACTAAAACTTCTCTTTTTTGGAAAATACATGAAAAACACTAAGCATACAAAAATCTCTTTCATGGTAAAAAATACAACCAATCCATTTCTTTTCGCCATTCGACTTTTCTCTTCTAAGGACGTGTCAATTCCTTTCCACTACAGAGTGTGAGTCTCCAATGGTCGAGCATCTATGGAATGATTGAGTCTAGCATTGTCCATTAAAAAATACAAAAAAATGAAAAAATATGTAAGCCGAACTACGATGCTCTGATTCCTTAAAAGGGATACGTAGGCATCTGGTCACGGGGCTCAGTCGAGCGAAAATTTGTAAATATTTCCTTCTTTTCCCCGTGTTTTCTTTGCATGCATTCCCTCTTAGTTTATAGCTCTTAAGCATTATATTGAACACACCCTTTTATTAGAACAACAAGAGTGGATCCCGTAGAGTACTACAGACGTGTGGGGTGCTAATACCTTCCCCTTACATAATCAACTCCCTTAAACAAAGTTTTCACGCGTTTTTGCTTCCAATCATGTTTAACAACTTTCCAAAAGAATTTAGCATCATGAAACCTAGGTTTTGGATGAGTTTTGATGCTAAGAAAATGACACATTGCTCATGTTTCAGATTCACACGAATTCACTCAATTACTCTCCCATTTGCACGCTTAAGCATTGCCTCATACTCTCCTATAAATAAGATGCACATTCTACCTATTTCCACAAGATTTTGATAGCCAATTGATCCCTTCCAAGATCTCATTTGAACTCTTAAGGCTTGAATTCATTTTCTAATTTCCACCCTCCAAATCACAAAAAGCTCAATTCAGTTAGCTCCATTGAACTTCTCTGAAGCTAACCATGCTCTTACCTTCAAGAATCATGACCTATTTTGATCTACAGAAGTTCAATTTCAGAGCAACTTTCTGCTACTTCATTCAGGTAGATTTCTTAGTCAAATAAATCCAAATAAAATACTAATCTACTTTCCTCATCCTTTTGATTCTCATGCTTCTTACAATTTGTGATTTCATTAAGATTTGAGTGAGATATTCCAGAACTTCGTGCTCGCTATTATTTATGTTATTTTTTTAAATTAAGCTTTGCTCAGTTCATATAAATTTGGCGTGAGGGTACCATTAGAATCGTCTTGAAGAGAAGAATCTAATGGTACCAGTTTGGTTGGCTAATTTTACAGTTTGTGGAACTCCAATCTAGGGCGTCCGGAGGTTGAAGACGACCTACGTGTCGTGCTTCAACCAATGAAGGAGTGACATGTAATTTTTTTGAATCCTATCCAGTGTGTTTGCTTTATCATACGCGCGTTCTTAGAGCCCTTGGATCTAATTACTTCCATTAGTCAGACTCCATCAAACGCACCATATTTTTAGTTGTTTTTAATTATTAAAAAGTGATTTGAAGTAATTTTCAATGCTGACCATGATATGCACAGCGTGCCTGATCTTTTATATTTGTTTACTGGCGCGTTTTAACTCTCATCCAATGGTCCACATTTTTTTAAACTTTATTTTATTTTCTGTTTTTTACATCAAACTTCAAAAAATCATAGAAAATTCATTTCAGACTCAAAAATTATGAAAAATTTCACAAAAATATTCTCTTTCTGATTTTTATTTTTTCATGATTTTATTTTTCATGATTTTATTTTCAGATTTGATATTTTTTATGATTTTTCCTTTGTTTTGACTTGTTTCTAATTGTTTAAAAATACTTTTTGGTATTTTTCTATTCAAAAAAATTTCATAAAAATCATTTTCTTTATTTCTGACTTTTTGAATTTTTTTTAGAATTTTATTCTGATTTTTATTTCTTATCATTTTTACTTGCTTAAGTGATTTTAAATAATTCTAAAAAAATAGTTTTCTGTAAAAAAAATTTTGCTAAAATTTTTGTAAAAATATTTGAGATCACTTCTGACTTTTCTATGGTCTCTTTTAATTTTTCTTTGATGTTTTGAATATAGTTTTCTATCATTTTATTTTGTTTATTAAATGCAATGTTATATATATATATATATATATATATATATATATATATATATATATATATATATATATATATATATATATATATATATATATATATATATATATATATATATATATATATATATATATATATATATATATATATATATATATATATATATATATATATATATATATATATATATATATATATATATATATATTGTTTGATCTTGAACTGTGGGATTTTAATGATGAGCTTCATTAATATCATTGGATCTTGGGTGTTGAGTTTAACTCCACCAAAATCGATGAATGA